TCTGCATAAAATAAAATAAGATACTGAAGCTTTGAAAAACTTAAAACAAAAGTTCCTTTTCTCTGTCAAATAAAATACTATAGACTACTGTACCGAAGAGGCCGGTTTCAAATCCAGGCGAAGGCATGGCTATTTGTAAATGGAACATAGATATAACTTCGTAACTTGCATCAGTATTGAGAAAAAACTATTCATTTGGCGCAACGGTAAAAAATTTCCAATGAACGTTGAATAATGTATAATGTCTATGCGGCATGAGGGCACTTTAATATGAGGTGAGCTGTAAGTCCTCTCGAGAAACCGGTGGTAAGAGAGGAGGGGGCGGTGAACCTCGAGCCCGTCCCCTCGGGGTTCCTTTCCTTCAAAATTGTGGAGTGAAGTAAGCAAATTCACACTGTCACCAGTATGTTGCCAACGACAGATGCTACCCTGAATCCTTGCCACGATGAATTACGTGGGCTTGCTGTGATTTCAGACAAGCGAGATTAGTGACAACATTAACAACAATAAATATTAAATTAAAATTTATCCCGTAAGAAAAGATATAACTGGGAGAATCGAGTTTAAGATAGGCGCCATGTATTACGTACTCGATATCAAAATTTACACTGTCAAGTCCAATTTTCTAATCTAGATAAGAAATAAATTACAAGAAATGTGATTAAGTTAAAAGTAATTATGATAAGAATTATTCATTGGAAATTCTTTTGGAAAAATTGGAAAATTTTTTGTTAAAGTTTTCACTTTTACGAAATTTGTTGAGAAATATGAAGCATACAGATCACCATTTAAAACTTTAAAATCCCCAAAAAGATATTTGAATTGTTAAATTTACGTTGCCACTTTCCTTTTTACACATTTTCATCCTAAATAAAATAGTATAACTTTTGTCCATTTTTCATAACACTTTACCAAAAACACGTTCATTTATTGATTATTTTATGTAACTATAAGCTTCTATTCATTAGTAATTGTATAATGCAAGGATGGGCAACTTTTTCATGGCTGAAAGTTGCAAGTTAATTATCAGGTTCCTAAAACTTAATAACATCCGCATGTGTTCCTACTTCAATTGATAACGTGATCGGAAAATATTGAGGAAGCATAAAAAAATATTAAATTGGCTTAATAACAAAACCGTGTTTATTCTACTGCGTAGTATGATGTATGTATGTACGGATATACACAAGTGTTCCCTAGCAGCAACAATCGATCAAAATTTGCTTATCGACGAGTTTGTTACACCTCATATAGGGGATGTTTAAAATAATTCCCTAATAATGTATAAATCCAAAGTGTGAATGCATAGGCTGGCTTTAAAATGCTCAAACTTACCCCGTCTGAGTTTAGAACATTGAATACGAGTTTTCATTACTGCCGAGGCTTAATGAGTTAGTTTGGATAACTCTTGAATGATTTATTTAAATCATTAAAACATGCTTACAGTAATTAAATTCATTATTCGAAGTTGCGTAGTTTAGTTAAAGTACGGCAAGGACTTAAAATGTCTTGGAGATGTGTGTCCATAGAGGACAGTTATCAAGTTAACAGAAGGTATAAAAATATATTTTGCGTATCTTTCTACTACGTATTCTCCTTCAGATTCTTTCAACGGCACTAACATGATATGTCAGCTCCGGTTAACTTTTAATCTACATAGATAAAGTTCCGGGCTACCGGTGAACTCATAGCTTATTAATATACATCTGATTATATTTATTATTTTAGCTGACCCTGTCCCTCGCTCGAAAACTAAAATAAAAGAAGAGCAGGACACACACACACACAAAAGCACGTAGCCTACATCGCAGAGCTTCAGAAAACAAATTTCCAAGATTCACCTGAGGCATCTCATTGCATGTACTGACCTACATAGTGGCATCCAACGCTTTTCCACGAACAGGTTCTGACAGAAATCCTCGGGTGTTGAATTCTCAAAGTAGAAACTAGGAAAATAAACGGCCACATTTTGCACGCCGAAACGGGTTATAAAGAGCGCGTGGTAGCTGACCAGGGGTAATCATCTAAATTACAGCGGTTCGATGGCGCACAGCAGCTTGCCTTTAAATGAACTGAATGAAAGAGCGGGCCAGGAACTGGAAAGTATGTAAAAGATCACAAATGTAGCCTTGCTTTCCACAAATTTTAGGTGCTAAATTATTTACTTTAATAAGTGGCTATACGGAATCCAATGCATCCAAAATATTGAATGTTCATAAAAGCTAATCTAACTAATACTTCGAAAACACAAATTTAAACAACCAAACTTCAGACTTGCTTTTAGGTAATGGCATTTGAATTAATTAGGTGCATATTTGGTACTGAATCAAAGCAAATATACAAATTGTGCTAAAGAACCCTAAAAAAAAATAAATAAATAAAAATTCTAACAGAGTTTATTCCGATTTTGAGCATCTTTAGTATTTCTCTAGTATTTTACTATAATAAAATAAGTTTTCTAGTAAAGAGTATACGTACATACATACTCACATATTGATAAATTATAACGGAAATTTAAATACAAAATATATTTAAGTTGGAGTAAAAAATAAATGTACGTAAATAATATATATATATGTATACTTGAATGAAATAATTTATAAATACTGCCCACTGGTTATTGTAGCTTAATCGCATAATTAGGGTTTGGTTTAGAACCCTTTCCTTTATTATTTACACGCGTACGACAATAAGGAGAATCATATTTCAAATATACCGCTCGCCCGGCATTGTGGTTAGTAACCCTGACTGCTGTAGCAATGGGCCGGGTTCGAATCCCGGATAAGGCATGGTTGTAATTGTCCGTCCCTTTATAGGAGGCAATGATGGCCACCTATTTATGTGCTTCCATAATGATGTAGGGTTCTCCACTGTGCAATTCTCAGTTGAAAGTGAACAATCTTAAAAACTAGTAAGCGAATAACCGCTTGAGTTCGTGTACAGGAAACAACAAGTAAGAAGAGTGAAATAACCCTTTATTATTCCAATTCAAGTTTAACAAAACTCCGTCTTGGAGTTGTACAATAAAGCCGACACTTGGGCTTGAACTTAATAAGCTAAGAATTAAACTAAGCTTAACTAAAGAGATATAGCCGAAGCTATCAAAATTCTAACAGAGTAACGCTAATTGACTGCTAAGCTATCAAGGGCCTAAACTACGGCCGAGCGTAATAATAGCCTACGAGAGAGTAGCCTAAAAAGGCGGGCGCGTGGCAGCCAGAATATCTGGTATCTCTCTCGCTAAGACTGTAAAACTTCGCGGTTATATACCGCTCATTAGCATTCAGACGTGATTCTAAAACTACGTTCTAGCCGGAAGTGTTAAGTTGAAATTAAGAATCGATAGGAAAGGAAGTTTAACTCAAAATTTAACTGTTAATAAAATTAACATAATTCTTACAATGAAATGGCCACCACTTTTGTCCCCTGTAGTGGCGCAAGGCTAATGGCTATTAAATAAAGCTCCCAGCCATTTAAAAAAAATTATTTCAAATATGCCTGATAATCGCACATGTGACATCCGAATTACATTCAACACAATGTATGTAAAGATCATGATATCATTAAATATCCTAATAAAATTAAATAATAATTAATTAAATAATAACAAAATTAAAAAAGACTGATTAGGAATTTCAAAATAAATGTGTGTACTATTTCAGCCAATGGCATCAGACATGACTGCATGAAATATTTTATTATTTAGACAACCTTGACAGAGAACAGCGTGAGTGTGCACATCCTTAGATGAAAGGTGAATCACGAATAGGCTTAACGTGGAACACCCCTTCGAAGTGGGTAGAACAAGCGATTCATTGCCTATAGAAATTCATAGTTCTCCCACCTACGCTCGACCACAAAGTTCTTCTCACTCCTGTTTTAAAATTTCTGAAAATAAACTCCAAACAATTCATGTATTGTTGCACTGAAAATGCGAACTTGGTTTTTAAAATTTTGGAAAAAAATAATTAAAACGCAGTGTTTATCTGGGCATTTTGCGACAAAGCATAACACGTTTGTTAGCATAGCATGTTGTAAGATAGCATTTTTGTTAGTATAGCTTGGGACAATGCATAGCATGTGTATGTAAAAATATTTATACAAACATAAAATGTTTATTTTGTTAAACTTTAGTTGCTCATAATAATTGAATTGTTACATAAATGAGTTTAATTAACTTTAATAAACTACACTTTACACAATTAGTTTTAATAAACTCATTCATAACAAAACATAAATTATTTTTCATCATTTCATTCTTGAATCATCATATTTAAATTAAGAAATTTTTTGAAGAAACAGCTATTATCATGAAGAATTCTGCGACAATGTATTTAATATATTCTTAGGCAAACTTCTAAACATCGTCTAAATAATTAGAAAAACAGTTTTTAACGACACAGTTTTCACCTCATTTCAGTATAAAAAATCATTCAACTGCAAAATATTTCAGTTCCATTTCGAAGAAATCTATGGAAATTAGGGGTATCTGAAATCTATTTAAACAAATCAACATACTTGACAGTCGCTATAATGCCTTTTATTGTAACACATATTCGAATATGCTGTGTGTATTTTGTACTACCTGACATCTTCTTTATAAATTTCTGGGAAAAATACAGCTATTTGCTACTGCTATTTGAGCTGAAACAATGTTTCAATAAATGATGCAACAAGAGAAGCCTGCCTGAAATCAAAGTACATTAAGCTCTAGAGAAAAAAAAAAGTTTAATGGCTAAGATAACAGGTAAAACAATTGATTAAATATATCTACTGATAATTTTTATGGTGAATTATTGTATATACTGCTTTAGACTAAAGCTCTTAAAGACGGTGTTAGTATATATTTAACTGATTACATTTAATCGTTTTATCTGTTAACTTTGCACAATACGTTTTCCTTCTATAGCTCTCAAAGTAACGATACGACGTAAAGATTAAGTTAGTGTCGTGCAGTTACTTTTAAGTTAGGTATTATTTCCTACATATTTCAATTTTTTTTATTACTTGTTTAAGAGCGAGCTTTATCAAACACAGTTACATTCATTGTTCTCAATTGTGTAATAATGCTGGAGAAAATTTTAAGCCACCAGAGTATATTTCAATCAAATAAATTTAGGTACTAATCCCGTTAACTATGCTGTTGTTTATAGGGTTATCTAACATAAACCAAACCATGTTCTAGAACTAAAAATAGTTACATATTTAAATTATAATTTTCTTATGAATTTACCATATCTTCTTGTAAGTAGTTTGGATTGATGCAACGGGTCTGCTAATATCAACTAGATATACCCTCTTCCGAAGTCTTTTCTGAGGTAAGTTAAAGATTTTTTGTACTACAAATTTATTATGAAGATGTTAGTTTGTAATACACTTGTATGCCAAACGAGTTTCTAAGAAAGTAACAAGCAAATTTGTCAGAATAACATAAACAACAAGTAATAAACTGTAACAATTAGTAAATTTGTCATAATAGCAAAAATGACAAAATAGTAAAATATGCTAATATTACAGTTGAAGAATACCACAGTTGTCCAATCATCGTAAATTGAAGAAAAGGCCAGTATAAATAACAGCGGTAAGAGTTTTAAATAGCATACTTATAAAATGTAAACTTGTAAAAATAAAATCATCAGTTAGTTTTAGGATTTTATACAAAGAAAGTGATAAAAGTCTCAAAATAATAAAATACCAAAACACAATTTTGCATTTAACTTCTTAAGAACACATTTTTAAAAACATATTTTAGAATACATTTATACAGCTTAATTTATTATTTTGGTATTAACAGCGGAATTGATATGTTTCGTAAATTCATGAAAATGTTGTAAATAAAGAAAGAAATTTCTAACATATGAGTTTGTGAAACGCACTACACTTTTTAAAACTCCCATATATTTTTTGAAAGAAAATTGACGAACTGCATTCATTCTGAACATTGCGAAAGCAGAATTGCAAAGAATACTTTAAATACATTAAAAGAATTCGGAAGCCAACTTCCAGGGAGTTAAGATATAAATTCTCCAATTAATCGACAATGAAATTTTAGGGATTAAGCCTATAAATTGGTTAAACTAATTTCAAAAATTTTACACCAAACAGTGCATGCATTTTAGAAGAAATGTAGCACATAATGACCTATCAAAACATAAATGAAATAACTATAGCTGCAGAGAAAAGCTCTTTGATGCCAAACATTACCTATTTTGTTTTCATAAACCAATACTAAAAGAAAGCAAATTCGGAACACGTCACTGGAATCCATTGTTACAATTTCTTTTCAAATTACAAGTTCTTTATAATGAGAGCTCTTACGTCATTGGTGACCGTAATACTCCATTATTCATATATCGCCTTTTTGATGCCATTCAGTAATGCTGAATAGGCTTAGAGATACCGTATATAATAATTATATGTAACGCCAAAGTGAAAGTAAACGCTTGCCCTTTAAGGTTTAAAGAAGAACAAACAAAGAAAATTATAATTTCCTCTAATTTAAGTCGATTTTAATTTAACAGGCATTTTAGATTATTTGTAAAACAAAGAATTTTATTCTATTAATATCTATACTCTTCAATGTTTATTTAAATATTCATCGTAATGCAATTGAACTAAATGAATTAATATTACAACACATATATGATAATCCATCATATGCATAATCAATCATATCATTAAAAATGATATGATTGATGATTGACGAATGATATGATTGATTTTTTGTGTGTAATATAGACCTCCATCTATGTGTTAGAGAAATCGGATACTATTTTTGCTGTATTGTAATTTGTAATTGAATATCGATGAAACTGCAGAAAGAAGCACTAAAAATCTGTGATACTTTCAATGTAATCAAAATTTATGTCCATTTCTCATCTTAAATCACTACCTTTAAGATGAAGTTACTTTTCAAAAGTAAGGTAACTTTATATAATTATTTGAGAATTCTCGATTAAGATGATTCCTCTCTTTTAGTTGATGAAAATGTAATAGAACTTTTTTGTAGTTTCAACTAATATGATTGTTTTGTACAGTAGAAACCAGAGCACTCCCTTCACGATGAATTAATTGCGCAGCTCTCCAGTACTTGGTATTTAATTAATCTCAGTTACTTTATGTTGTAATTTTTGGTATTAATTCATGTTTAATTATTATTTAACTTTTACTTTAATTTTCTTTTAATTACTCCTCTATCTAGTGCATTTCGATTTTCTTATAACTATAAATTTAAAATTTAACTTTCCCTCAAACCGAACATCACCTCGAATTACCCGCTTAGAAATTATATACAATTATTTAAATATTCTGAATTATAAAAACTTCGGAGGTCAGTCTTCCTTTTTAGAAATTAGAAATTAGATCATTAAACACAAATTCATTTCTGTGCAATTTTAGTATTCGTCAGTCTATTGGAAAATTTTTTTTAAATTAAATGCAAAAAAGTTTTTCTGTTTTCCGAAAATTTTTTGCATTTTCTTGTATTGCTATTGAATAAGCAAAAGAAAGCAGAATTTTCAACAACTTGGTTTTGGCTTATCTAATTATGGCACAGCACGTTAGAGCTATCTATCTAAGGGAAAGGATGCCTTCGTGGAGGACTTCGTACGGGAAATTGGCTTGCATACACGTTACACATGAGTAAAACCACGAAAACGCCCATGCAGCAAGCACGTTCGCGAGATTCGAACCTCGAACCGAACTACCAGAGTTCAGCGACTTTACCGCTCGGCACTAGTGGTCTCTGAAAGATTGAAGTACTATTAGACATGGGCACTTTCAACCACTTTAATTTGATATTTATTTATTTGTTCAGGTTCCTTAGCATCTTTTAAATTAACGAAAACTTCTGGTGGAATAGAACATTTTACTAGGAGCAAATTACATATTTTAAATCCCAGTTAAAATCTTTTACTTAAAATGACGCACATTGTGTTATTTAATTTCAAAATTTGAAATGATTTTAAATCCAGTTGCATTATTTCCTTTTTAACCTGAAGAAATTTTACCGAGAAACCTTCGTACTTTAACCTACACAGAGAAATATATTTGTAGTTAATATTCAAATTAGCTTTTAAATAGCTGTTATTTATTAATAAATAAATGCCTTAGAAGGAAAAATGAAATATTGAATCCCCAACTACTAGTGATTTTCGTCAAAAGATCTAGAGACATTGATATTGGCAACGAAGATTAAATGTGCTGGCCGAAAATAGAGTATCTTGCATTTAAAAACCAAGTTATCTGTTGAAATTTACAGATATTATCAGCCCCGTTTCATGAACTTTTCTGCTGTTTTTGAACAAGGATTATCTTTTAAAAGATACTATTGTTGATCTTCATAAACACCTAAATAAGAATTTCACACCAAAGCTCACTCCACGTGAATCTCTGACAGCGTATATGCAAATTAAACATTTTGAATCCATTTCTTTGTGTTCTTTAATTATAAATAAACACTTTGAGAACATTGCTTCTGTCTGCTGTTTTTGTTAGCAATAATTATTTCATCATGAACTAAATGAAAATAAATGCCGCAGTTTTCACGCATAGAAATTGTATCTGTATGAGAGTAAAATGTGAAATAAAAATAAAACTCTAAATTAGGAATCTGAAAATGAATTTCCGTGGGTGTTCCAGGGACGAACAACGGAACATTTAATTATGGCGTAGTTTCAGGGGCGTTTAAGGAAAATAAATGACGGAATGTTTTTCGCCTTGCTGATATTTAAGGACATCTGCGGTTTATAAACAAGTGTGTTTCACAGAAGAAATAATTATGACCACACGATGGAAGTTATAATTGTAAAAGCGTACTTTTCATAAAGAGCATTCTTTATTTGATGATATGTGAAGAAATATTCGTTACATAAAGATACTACCAAGAGCAGAAATTTTTATTTGTTTATAACAAACTATTCAAGGACTTCCTGGCTGAAGGAAGGGATTCCTTAGTGGAGTAAATAAGGGAAAAGTTACTAACAACAATTGTCACATAAAAGGTATTAACAGCAGTAGGATTCGGTTGTTCGCGATTCCAGCGAACGGGTTGGCTGCATGGGTGTTTTCATGGTTTTCCCCATGTGTAACGAGCCAGTTTCCCTTAGAAAGTCCTCCAGGAAGGCATCTTTTCGCTTAAGAATATAGCCCTCCAGGCTTTGCCATAATCACATAAACCAAACCAAATCATTATCATCAGTAGAAATTTTATTTGCTTTATGGCAAATGTACTCGAGGGTAATCTGGCTGAAGGAAAGGATGCCTTCGTGAAGGCCTTTCTGAGAGAATCTAGCTCGTATACACGTTACACATGGTGAAAGACACAAAAATGCCCATGTGAGCCAACAAACCGAACTACTTGTGTTCAGCGTTCTGCCACTGTGGTGGCACCACTAATGAAAAATTAATTGTTAAATACAGAAACGTAAAAAAAATTTTGGATAGTTTCACTGTGAAGAGGACTGTTTATATGTCTGCTAACAGTACGGCTCAGTGTAGGAAACAACACAGCGGATTCTAGACCCGAAATTGTGTTTTTTTTAAATTTTTTATTATGATATTTATTATCATGTAATTCGGGCGGGGTTATTAAACACACAGTCGGGTTCAGTCTCTGATTCGTTTTTATCTAAGAAAGCAAACTTGATATGGCCAATGTCTTACTTTCTGGAAAGTAACTTTTATTAAATCTTGTTTACCATTGAATCATATGAACAGTTTATACCTAACTACTTTACTGGTAGTTCGGTCCGCGGTTCGAATCCCGCAAACGAGCTGGCTGCATGGGTGTTTTCGTGGTTTCCCCATTTGTAACGTGTATACCAGCCAGTTACCTTAGAAAGTCCTCCACGAAGGCATCCCTCCCCTCAGGCAGATAGCCCTAGTGTGCTTTGCCATAATTAAATACACCACCACCTAACTACTTTAATCCTGTAGAATTGGTAATTTGGCGAATTTTAAAAAGTACGCCGTCTCGCAATACCGTTTAAATAATACACAAAAGTACGTTAAATAAGTTTAAATATACAGCAATACTGTTTAAAATGATAAATGTAATAATGGTGGTTTTTTAAGCTAATATTTTTATATTTCGTTTACTTTTTTCTTCTGAAAATTGGTATTCGCAAATTAAAAAGCTACCATCCAAAACTGTGGAATGAACTTGTGGATATGACATAAGAATATTTTGCAATAAATTAAATCAATTCATAAATCTTATTTTATTTTTCAAATTATTTAGAAATAAATATTTTACATACTTTAAAAAAATTCTTATAATACGAAAAAATAATACTGCAGTTTTGTACGCTAAACAGAC